TGATTCGATAGTCAAATTATGAATAACAATAGACTAACATATTCTACTCGTCGAGTAGATCCTCGTTGTATATTTGAAATCTCAAAATCAATTCCGAACGAATAAGAAATAGCGGTCCAAAGTTGGATAGAAAAGAGGATACACAGGTTTGACTATGACTATCTCTATTACTTGCATGTCGCTCGAGCGAGAAGCCAGCAACAAGCTAGCAAGAGAAGCTCTGATGAAAATGTGTCACTGTCCCTCGAGCGAGAGGTCAGCGACAGGCTAGTGACAGTAAATGCTGCGACCTTCGGCAAAAGTTTGCTGAATTTAGGGCACGACCTTTCATTTACAACCTTTCCTCTTCTAAATTGGATGGATCTATTGACAAATATAAGACTATGTTGGTTTCCAAAGGATATAGGCAAAAAGAGAGACTTGATTTCTTTGATACCTACTTACGCATAACTAGAATCTCTTCAATACGGTTGTTAATTGCAATTGCAGCAATACACAACCTTAAGATTCATCAAATTGGTGTGAAAACGACATTCTTGAATGGTGAATTAGAAGATGAGATATATATGGAACAACCCGAAGGGTTCGTCTCTCCTAATCACAAACACAAGGTTTGTAGACTCGTTAAGTCCTTGTATGGATTGAAACAAGCTCATAAACAATGACACCAAAAATTTGACAAAACAATGTTGTCAAACGGATTTAAGAACGAGTGTGACAAGTATGTGTATATATAAAACATACACCAAATGCCTATATGATTGTGTGTCTATATGTAGATGATATGTTGATAATGGGAAATAGTCACGATGTATTACTAAAACCAAGAAAATGCTAACGAAGCAATTTGATATGAAAGATATGGGTGTGGCTGATATGATACTGTGGATTAAGATCTCTTGAACACCGAAAGAAATCACACTTTCCCAATCTCATTACATTGAGAGTATGCTAAAGAAGTATAATGTACTTAAGGAAAGCCCTGTGAAAATCTCTATTGACACAATTTTACACTTAGTAAAAAATACGAGTAAATGTGTGTCACAACTAAAGTATTCACAGATTATCGGCAATTTAATGTATATTAAGAACTGTATTCGACCGGATATAGCCTTTGTTGTGAATAAATTTAGTAGATTCACAAGTAATTCAAGCCATGATCATTGGAAAGCTTTGACAAGGGTTCTTAGGTATTTGAAGTATACCTTAACTTATGGATTACACTTCTCAAAATATCATGTGGTATTGGAAGGATATTGTGATGCGAATTGGATATCCGACATGAAGGATTCCAAGTCTACTGGTGGTTTTGTATTTACCATTGGTGGAGCTGCTATATAATGAAAATAGACAAAGCAAACGTGTATAGCTCGATTAACGATCGAATCTAAGTGCATTGATTTGGATAAAGTTGGAGAAGAAGCAGAATGGATTCGTAACTTTTTGGAAGATATTCTAGGTTGGCCCAAGCCAGTATTTGCAATAAGTATGCATTGTGATAATCAATCGGCTATTGGAAGGGCTCAAAGCAGCAATGTATAATGGTAAGTTTAGACATATCCGTCGCAAACATAATACCATTAACTAATCTCTAATGTCATCATCTCCATAAATTATGTAAAATCAAAGGAGAACATTGCAGATCCACTTACGAGAGGTTTGCCTAGAAATCAAGTACGTTGCCTATCGAAAGGAATGAGATTAAAGCCTACTATGTAAGGATCTTTGTAATGGTAACCCTACCTTGTTGATTGGAGATTCCAAGATTTTGAATCAAATGGACAACTAAGTTATGAGGATTCAATGAAACATTTAGGAAATTATTTTCTAATTCATTCCTATGATATTAAAGTGCTTTCTGCAAAATGTTGAGGTTAAGATACCCTTTTAATGATTCTTATAGCTTGATTAAGTCAAGTAGAGTATGACAGAATACTCTTAATAGGAGATCACCTATATAAGTGTGAAGTGGGGCCGCTTCAATGAGAATTGTTCGAGGCTAAAATTCTCTAAACACTTATGAAACCAAGAGTGGTCCAGGGCCAAAATGGACACAACCGT